ACAAAACGCTTTTTCTTCTACTTTCACTTTTATTACATTCTAAATAATTAACTATTTGGTTATTGTTCAATTAGAGTTCCCAAATTTGCCATTAATTGATAGCATCACGTTGAGATAACATTCATCATCATAAGGTCGTCAGTTTTAAGGCTGGTTGGACACACACCTCAATCCTCAACTTCCTATCCTGAGCTAATCTTCGCATTTAAACTAGAACAACCCACATCCTCAACTAAATATATGCGAACAGTAATCTAATCTAGGTCAACCTCTACCCTTTCTAACTCCCGTTTCTGCCTCTAATACAGTGGACCCCCGATAATTCGGCCCCTGGCTAATCCGGCACCCCTTGTAATCCGACATGGTCTATTATTTATTATGTATTGAATATTTTTTTGACAATCTTCGCTAATGCATGATTGAACAAGTTATAACTTGAGTATTGTTTTGACTCTGATTGCTTAGTTTGAATTTGACTACATGTAACGTAAAAAAATCCGGGCTATACGGGGTCTTAGGCAGTACTCTCTAATTCGCCATATTCGCTAATCCGACACTGCCCTGCAAACTGCTTGTCGGATTATCGGGGGTCCACTGTATGCCTCTGACTAGACCTTCATGCCTAAGAAAGTGTCCTATACTTCGTTTACTTTCTGTAGCGATGTGACCTTCAGTTTGACCGGCGCAAAGTAGAAAAGAACAGTACCAGGCCAGAAAAGGAAGGAGAGAACTCACGGCCAAACTCTTAACCGGTGAGGAGCGTATAATCCGTACAGTACTGCACGGAAAAATTGACCATTTTATCCACTACAATTGCATTGCTCAAATGTGCTGTTATTGGTACCAATTACTACTGAAAATATCAACGAGATGTTTATTTATATTTGAAGACATATTAAAGGCTTTAACGCTTGTTTTCGACTCGCACTACTNATTTTTTTATAAGTATGTGTAAAGATGGAAATTGGTAAATAGTTTTACCTACGAAATACGCGATCTTGGTTTCTAAATTATAGCAGTAAAAAGTATTCTAACATTGTTTTTTTCTTAATTATAAATAGGATAATGCATGTAAAAGTTTTATATGTTGATTTTGAAATATTCGATCGAAGCTGCATGCGCGAATACATTGCGCTATTTAATTTAACCCCAGCACAGGGATGGAATAAAAGAATTTGAATAAGTTAAGTTAAGCAACTAAAAACAAAAATATTGCAAAATGTTCTCGTTCACAAAGTTAGTTATTTTCATCATGTATGTACATAGTCGGGGTATTTTGGGTCGAGAATACAATTTAAAAACCCAATTTTTGAAGAAGAAAAATAGTTTTCATGTATTTTACACTAGAAGATTAGGTCATTTGGCATGAAGTATGCATCCCAATATACACTCTCTATATGCATGATGCATATACATAGATTGTTCACGTAAACAAGTCAAATTGGTGCTTTCCCATTTGTTTTTAAGTCTACTTATGCTTTCATTGTATTTTGAAGTAAGAAAAATGTAAATAAACAAGTATTATTAGGAAAATAAATTCTAATTCCTTGAACTTAATTAATAGTGTAGAAGAAATTGTACATTTCAACTATAAAAATATTCACGATTACGCCTCTGTACTGGGAACCCTCTTTTTGTTCGCATGCTCCATTATAGAGCTTGAAAGCTTCAACGAAAGCGGTGCTTTGATAAAGCTTTGTATAACATCGCGATCCAAAAGTACATGCATAAAAATACAAGAACATTTCGATCTGTTTAATTAAAGTTTTGTTATTTATTGTTACCCAATTGCTTATAGATTTTGGAAAATGCTTTCGTCAAGATACATTTACTTACTTCAACACAAAATATTTCATAAATATCATAAAGCCAAACAATTTTAATTATTCTATGAGCCAGTTCCTCAAATGTTTTTTGGTTCACCGTATGATAAATATCAATGAGAATTTTCCTTATGAAAAATTCCATGCTACATTTACTCAATTATTTATAATGGTACAATCAATTGGTTATCTAATCTCTTTTCTCTTAAAATTCATCATCGTTTTCATATCCAAAACAAATTCTAGCGAATTGCGTATGATATATGTACAGTTTACACATTCGTTAATCAGTGTATCACTAAACAAAGTTATTCATATTGTAATCAAAATCTTGGTATACACCAATGGATTTTCTATTGCAGTTCTCATGCAATCATAAAAAGGTCGGCAAAATTTTTTGAAAGATCCGACATGATACAGGAAATTTGAACAAATACCTTCACTCATTTTTTCATATAAATAATAAAGTAATATAAGTATAATTAAAGTAATCTAATAACTTTTTAGGGAGGGATGTTACGTACAGGCTGGTTAGCTTAGGACAGTTTTCAGATAGATATGGTTGAAAAAATATATTCAACAAGTTAATAAAAAAACTGCCGACAAAGAAATACGTAATTTTTATGTTCGTTTAACATTTTGTCTTACCTGTATATCTACCAAAATCTCAGAATCTTCTTAATAAAGCATAATAACATCCCTCAATTGCCTTAAATTGAACTTATTGGACTTATTTATGTGTATAAAAAGATGGTTGAAAGTATTTCTATCGAATATCCCTACGTTCGGTTTGTAACTCGCCGCTGGTGTATACACAAATAATTTATAGATAAATGTCGTAATTATCTACATTTACGAATGTTTTGAGATACCTATGTATTACTTTAATAACGATGAGACAATAACGTAAATAATATATTGTAGTATGCATAGAATTTTGCAAAATACTTGCGACTGTCTATCAGAAAAATAATGAGACCTTTTGGTATCGACAGTTTCAGGACAGACATGTCTTTACGTATGTCCAGTGAGAAAATAACGATAAATAAATAGATGTCAAATGGTACATGTATTTAAATAGAATTTCATGTTTACCTATCAAATGTGTCAACGTCTAATAGGTAAGTAGCAAATAGAACAAAAAAATAAAATAAATTAGAAAACGCATATTAATTTAAAGTGACAGATCTAGAGCATTACAGAGTCTCGTGAAGTGCTGAATAGATTTGCGTAAAAACCATTTTTAATTCTTTTAACAAACAAATTCATATTAAAACCCTATAAAATGCGATATAGACTGCAATTGCACTCATTTATAAATTATTTACGGCGCGTCCTGATTATTTATTAGAGTTAAGATATGTGGGAAAACACCATAAAAATACCGGTTTAAAATAAATTTTAAACTTTGCGCAATTCGAATACCTAGCTCCTAGAATAAAATATGTATGCAAAACACTTGAATGTTTTGAGTTACCTTATAGGGAGTTAATTAATTCTGTTTTACGGAAACAACTGTATAATAACTGTAAACAACATTGACATCAAGGCTAAAAAATGTTCAAATCAATTTTTAAAGCATTTCAATTGAGTATATTTAGTAACGCTAAGTTAGCGCAACAAAAATTAATTTTTTTCTTACTAAAGAGTGATATTGTACCTTTTAGCTTTAATAAGTTATTAAATGTTTAAATATTTTCACACAAAATAATAACAAAACAAAACGTTTTTAATTACTGAAGTCTCTTTTCTTAATTCTTTTTTTATGTATGTACCTAACCTGAAAATCAGGACAACCAAACCAAACCTAGCCTAACCTCAACTTACTTTCAAGGAGTACTTTACATTAAAATGAATACAGAAATTACTCGTGTATTTTTTGAAAGTTTGCACATATTAAAAAATTGGAATTGGAGAAAGATGTTCGAAGATTAAAAAACTTTTTTTCTTGTTTTAATAGGTATTCTTGTTGGCAAAAATACATAAACAATTAATAACATATTAAACTAAAAAATAAACTGGGGCAAGAGTTAATTATCACACCTAAAGTCTATTTAAAAAAAATATTTTCAGGACGATAAGTATGACTTACCTACTAGTAAAAGTAAGTACTATTTGATTCCCAACACCATTCTTCAATTATCTTATCAATGAAAAATACCACTAACTATATCTCGCCTATAGAGTCCTCTGTTCTCCTATTCTTTCTAATACCTCTTCATTTCTTCTCTATCCACGGTATCCTCATCATTCTTCTGTAACACCACATTTCGAACACCTATCCTAACCTAACCTTTTCTGTTCCGATGGGCCTACTGTCCTTGTTTCGCACCCGTACAGCGCCGTGCTCCAAACATACATTTTTAACAATCTTTTTTAAATTTCGGAATTAACCGTTCGCGAACATAGAAGTGACTACGTTTTATTGAAAGCGACTCGACCCTGCGCTATCCTCTGCTTTATATCCCGACTTCTGCTTCTGCCCTGACTTACGGTACACACCAACTTAAATATAGTAAAAGCGTTAAGTTAGAAGCTGACGTAATTTATCTAGAGAACTTCATATAAAAAAATTGGTTTTCATAAATTATCAATTTGTTCAAAAACCTAGATCACAATTGAGTACATGAAGTGTGTCCTGCGTTACAAATGTACGATATTAAGCAAGAAAAACGTTATTTATATGCATGTATATTCTGTATGCATACAGGTGATGATTATTATAGATTGATTATTAATAACGAAAATGCGCTGTCTTAGATGTATAATCTGGAGCCATGGTAATTTGGTGATACCCTAATGTCAGGGCCAACGTTGTAAAATTTTTACTACGATGAATGCGATCCAGGCAACTGATATTGACCGTTGGTGGTTATGATCTAAAGGGTGGTGTTGTGGATTCTTCTGTTATTCAGAAGATACAGAAGGTGAGCAAATAATGGTAAAACGAATTTAGATCGCTAAGTAGTCTTACCTTTTGGTAATCAGCCAATTGGTTATCAAACTTTTTTACTGCATCTTTTCTAATGATTNACAAAATCTAAATACCTCTTTTGAAAGATAATGTAATATACATTAGCACAAAATCAAATATTCAGGTAATTGTAAATAATATTAAATTATACCAACAAAATATTAATTGAATAAAAACTTAACCTTTAATTATTTCAGTATCTTACACAAAAATGCGATAAATTAATAAAAAACGATGAAAAAGAAATAACATTGTACTGCATGGGTTCAGCAATTCAACGAGGTATTTTACTAGCATTGAAACTTTGTGATGAGCATCCTTTTTTGACAAATTCAGTTAACACATATACTACCAAAGTTAATGGTAAGTAATAATTTCCCACCAGTTTTAATTTACTTTTATAAACTCACATTACTGAAAGACTGGTATTAGAAACTATAATTGTTATAAATTTTAGAACTTGTGATACCAACTACCGACGAAGAAGATTTTGAAACCCAAAGCCGCAATAATTCTACTGTATGCATTCTTTTAACTCGAAATAATCCGCTGGAGCCCTCAACAGCTTCATAAGCAAAATGTTCTTCACAATAGAAGAAATAGTGAGATGGCTTGGTTTAACCGTTTTCGAAATATGGTTGAATCTAATTGCTCTGGTGGTATTTTCAATTCTATTGGCGCTCAAATTTGACCCTACAACGGCAGTCTATCATTGCAGTTGGTGGACAATCTTTTTGCCATTGTTTGCTAGTGATGCGCTAAATGCATACTTCTGCATAATAATTTTTATTCGCATGCAACTGGAAAGTTCCTTGAAAGGGGCTCTCTTAAGGGTTAGTTGGTCTGCAACATTTCTGTTTATGACATTTTTGTTCAAGTTTTTCTTGTGCAAAAAACTGATGGGCCAAGTTAGTTTGGATTATAACGAAATATTCACCCCACTGTATATTCTATTGCAGTTAGTGGCTATTAGAGCCTGTCAACAGACATAATTCTTTTGGGCATTTTGTAGATAAAGAATAAAGTCAGTTCTGTATTTATAATATTAGAGGTAGTTTAAGTGTAAATCAAAAACCAAATGTAAATATTGAAAAAATTAATTGAATTAATCATTGACATTTTTTATATCAGTTACTTCCTTCTTATTAAATAAAAAATGTTTGATGTACTTAGTTTTTTCTTTACTTATAATCAATACTCCTGATGAGGTACTAGAGTAGGTACTCAATAGTATGTCGCATGCACATTTGTTTCTATATATAAAGGTTTAGTTTGTTCACGGTACACAGTGATCTAGCTGTTTACATAATGGGGTAGTACACACAGCATTACAAGTTATAAGAAAGAGACATACAGACAAAAGTCTAGCTATACGTTTTTGTTTTCCCTTTTGGATATGGGCCCAAGAAATGGTAAATGAGGAATAGTTTACAAATTAAATATATATTTATTAATTTGTCTCGTTTGTTATTCAGCAGTATAAAAAGTTATTTAGTTTTCATTTTTTTCTTTTTCTTTCCAATACTATTAATGCCCTTTTTACATTTCGCTTGTAATTCCTCGTGATTAACCTTAGGGCAGTCCCTTTTCTTGTGACCCTTTTCTTTGCAGTGAAAACATTCCTAAAATTGTATTTTCTTTTTACCTGTTTCTTAATTTGTATTACAGAAGAAAGCCTTATTCACCTGTGAAAATTCAATATCTCCGCATTTATGATCGGGCTGTGCGCATCTATTACATTTTTCACAATGTTTCCAACTTGGTTTAACGCATCTATCGCAAGAATCGCAATGTTTGTATGTCCTCCCATCTTTTGATGTGCAAGAATTACACTTATTACAATGATTATTTTCAGATGAAATCCATCTTTTACAAACTTTACAGTATTTGTACCCTTCGTCTTTTGGTAACTCAATACAACTACAAAAAAATCTTATTCAAAACGTACTTATCCAAATATACCTTTAAATTAAATTTAATTAAAGGCTTTATGTGTGCTATAAAAGAAATAATTCAAGTACAACTTCTTTAGTAAAAAATACGAATTGAATAATATGTAGTTAGGCTGATGAAAACACTGTGGGTAAAATGATATAAAATGAAAAAACTGTTCCTTTATACCTAGGGTCAATATTGGTAAATATTCGTACTGGTGACCCATATTTTCGCCCCTTGTTTCCATGTTGAAATAAACTGTGATTGTCATAATCTACTTTATAATCCAACATTTTAAAGTTTGGCAAACTATTTGTTATATGAGGTTCCATAAAATAAGGAAATATCCAAATTACAGGAATATCTTTCATACTCTTAGTTAACATCTTGTACCTTTCATTGATGGTGTTTAAAGTGTGTACAATGGGTTCAACCCTTCCGCCAAAGGGAGGGTCCATGAAGATGACTAAGTCTTTACCCCTATCAAAGTTTTAATATTTTTTTGTTAAATAATAATAATAAAGTACACTGTATTACGCACTTATCTGTTTGAAGAAAGTCATCAAATATTTGTTTTGATTCAGGTAGGAAGAAGTTGTGATTAAATAAATTATACCAACCAAACTGAAGTGGACCAACAAAATCTAAATACCTCTTATCTATGTCCAGTAATAATACAGACATATCCTCGAAATTATTAGAAATAAATTCACTTATTCTTGGTGCCCCAATACATAAAACATTTCTACAGAAAAAATAATAATATATGCTATTTTCATTATAAAATAATACGAAAAGTACCTTAAATTATTTTTATGTAGTATATTAACTAGTGTTGATGTTGTGTTTTCGGTAAACAAAAATTGTGCCTCTTTTTTGTTTGATTCTAATGGATTTAGAAACTTTGATGGATTTAAAAACTTGTCGTCAGTAATGCCTTTTTCAAAGTTATGTTCTGTATGCAAATTTATAGATTTAGGAAGCAGAAGTTTAGAACAAGTATGGCAATAAACCCTTTCAGAACTGGGAAGATTTTTAATCTAGAAAACTGATGCTTTTAAACAGCTCAGTTATGATCCTATACAATTTACTTACAGTGTTTAAAATTTTAAATGATCTTTGATGATTAATGCCTTTAGTATACTTTTGAATTTCCTGATTCCAATAATCCTCTTTGGATTTATTCATCTTTTCATCTGCCCACAGGAAAAAAGAACAGTCTTTTCTATCCCTACATGCTGAACACGCAAAGAAATTCCGATTTTCTCCTTTGACGACGCGTGAAAACAATAATGTCGGACCATGAGGGCATTTAGGATTTAATCTCAAGTTACTAGAAATTACTTCTACTCCAGACATTGTAATAAATTCGAATTGCTTACACCTCCACTTGTTTTGCACAGTTGTTTAGGATCATTTTAGGTTAGAATATATTTGTTGGTTATGTTGTTTAAGTGACATATGCACTTCTATGATATGTAATTTCATTGATATAAACCAAACCATATGAGAAGTATACAGGGTGTTTACAGATTAAATTCATTGTCAGACAAGTCCACATTGGGACTTACTTGGACTAATAAGCAGAATTTAATAATATATATCTGTATTTTTATAACGCTAAAAAACTGTATTTTTTTAAATGCAGATCAACCCTAGGAAAAAAGTAGTAGATTTGGGGGTGTGATTATATCTACATATGTACTAAAGAATTTCAAAAGGTTTAAATTTTTGACAAGTACTTTCAGTAAGTATTATAACACTTGCAAAAAAGTGCGAAAAAAAATTCAGAAGCAGCATTACAAATATAACGTATATTCTTGTGTAATTTCCAAACAAAATTGTTTTTAACTTTGAAAAAATTAAAAAAACTATTTTATGTATACCGTAAACTGTATTTATTTTTGAATAAGTATGTGTAAAGATGGAAATTGGTAAATAGTTTTACCTACGAAATACGCGATCTTGGTTTCTAAATTATAGCAGTAAAAAGTATTCTAACATTGTTTTTTTCTTAATTATAAATAGGATAATGCATGTAAAAGTTTTATATGTTGATTTTGAAATATTCGATCGAAGCTGCATGCGCGAATACATTGCGCTATTTAATTTAACCCCAGCACAGGGATGGAATAAAAGAATTTGAATAAGTTAAGTTAAGCAACTAAAAACAAAAATATTGCAAAATGTTCTCGTTCACAAAGTTAGTTATTTTCATCATGTATGTACATAGTCGGGGTATTTTGGGTCGAGAATACAATTTAAAAACCCAATTTTTGAAGAAGAAAAATAGTTTTCATGTATTTTACACTAGAAGATTAGGTCATTTGGCATGAAGTATGCATCCCAATATACACTCTCTATATGCATGATGCATATACATAGATTGTTCACGTAAACAAGTCAAATTGGTGCTTTCCCATTTGTTTTTAAGTCTACTTATGCTTTCATTGTATTTTGAAGTAAGAAAAATGTAAATAAACAAGTATTATTAGGAAAATAAATTCTAATTCCTTGAACTTAATTAATAGTGTAGAAGAAATTGTACATTTCAACTATAAAAATATTCACGATTACGCCTCTGTACTGGGAACCCTCTTTTTGTTCGCATGCTCCATTATAGAGCTTGAAAGCTTCAACGAAAGCGGTGCTTTGATAAAGCTTTGTATAACATCGCGATCCAAAAGTACATGCATAAAAATACAAGAACATTTCGATCTGTTTAATTAAAGTTTTGCATTCAACTGATACCTATTAATAATACGTAATCGGAAGTGATGGTTATGCAAATTTAAAAAAGAATAATTAAAAATTAGTTGCTCCAAATTCTAATACAAAATGTTAAAAGAAAGTGTGTGTATGAGAGTCTTTTGTTGACACTGATTGCTTTTTTAATTATTCAGGTAAGCACTTTTTTCTTTCACGAATCTCATTAGCAGAGTTGAATGAAAGTGTTTTACACAACATAAATATTTTTTGTTTTTATCATGAATTATTGAATAATGTACAAAATAAAAATATCTGTCTCGTTACATTTTAATCAATTTGTATTTTTCAATTTATTATTTTTAGCTACCTGCAAGATTTAGCAAATTGTTGATATATAATGTTACAAAGAAATTAAATTACTATGTTATTTTAATAAATGTTCTATTTTAAAATCATTTGAATAAAATTTTTATATCTTGAATATTATTTACTTGCTAAAATAATTGTTTTATATGAGTTATGAAAAACTAAAAGAATAAATAAATAAAAGTAGAATGTTTCCCTAATTATTTACGATTCTTTTCACTTAATTAGGCAAAGATTAATTAATTACGTTTTAACTTTCAAATTAATTTGCAGAATGTTTTCGGAAATATTCCTAATGTCGTTATGCCTAGTGCTTGGAGAAAGTTCTTGCCGGTTGCAAAATCCTAATTGCAAAAACTACAAAAAATGCAACACGTTTGATTTTTCATGCGACAAATCAGAGGAATGTGTTAATTATGACAAACAAACCGAATATTGTTCCCGTAAGTTATTGTAAAATTCTGAATACAGCTTGTAAGACATATAGGGCTGGTTAGAAGCAGAAACAGGAGTAAAAAGGGGTAGAAAAAGAGGGATGTCTAGATTAGATTATTGTTGGGATTTGGGTTTAAGAAGGAGCGTGTCCAAGTATTTTTTAGGCTGAATATTTTGTGATCATGATTCTACAATTATTTAATTATTTCTAAGTAGTGTCTAGGTACTCTAATCGAAGACTAAATAGACCCAAACAATTGTACATACATTTTATTAAAGTGAACATTTAAAAGTAATTGTGTTATTATATGTATGTATTTCTTTATTTAAATAATGTTTCACAAAGAATTTTTAAATACATATTATAATTTTTAATGTAGTCGTAAGTTAAATTTTTAAATTCTAATTCATAGATAATTAAGTAATTAAAGTCAAATTTTCCTAGCTAGGACCGTCTAAATGATGGAAACAATTATGACTACGAAATAGAGAAAATTCGAGTTAAGAATAATTTTATGTATTACTTTTGTTAAGCCTATCTCTACAAGAGTTTATCGGGCAAATTAAGTACTTCATGTGTGTTGTCTTTTCCGACTGTTCCGAAGAAAATTAATAGAAATTCGAATTAGAGACAATTTATAATGTCGAATTTCGAATTAGAAAAAAATTCGGGTTAATGAAATGGTAAATTTTGAGTTTTAGAATTCGAAATTAATATAAAACAGTACGTACCTATGTCAAAAGAACAAAAAAATAATTTGAATTAGAAAAAAAAGTTTTCGAGTTACTGAAGGTGGACTGTATTATTTTATTGATACCTAACATTAATTTGTACCTATGTAATCGTAAGATTTAATGTTTTTATTTGCAGCGTGTAATGCAACTTATTTTGGTGAAGTTGGTCATACCTACGAGTTAACTATCAAAAGACCGATAAGTAGCAAAATGCCCTTTTTGTGTTTTTTAAATTTTACAGCTGCGGGCGGCACTTATGGAGACTTAGTTCAGGTAGGACAATTATACCTAGCGTTTCTTTTTTACAGCGCACATATTTTTCTGAGTGGTACAGTTTAATAAAAATTAAATAAAATATCTTCTATAATAAGTATGTAGAGGTAGCTCAGAATTCCATGAGCCTTGACTTTGTATTCTACGCTTACACAATTCCGTCCTTTCTCTAATTCCTATATTTTTACTTCTAAAATGATGTTATACTGTTTATCCGGGTACCATCTGGAACTTTATTCTTGGTTGAATAGCGAGACACATCATTAACAGACTAGTCAATACGAATGTAACAATCTTCGCCTCTCGCGCATGTGAAGGCCCATGAGATTTTGAACTAACTGTACTAATAAAGAAAAATCGCTCTAATGTAACATTATCCTTCGAAATGGGCCAAAGAATTAGCCCCAGAATCGAATAACGACCCATCAAAGGGACAAATTTGCATTTAAGTGATTTTTCTTATTTATTTTATAGTTCGTTTCCTCTTTAACTATAAAAAAACTTTGTAGCTCAATTTTGAGTCATTTGCCGTTGGAAATTTCGAGTCTTTCACAATGGACGGTTGTCCTAATGGGTTCATGACAATAAGAGAATCAGACAGACCTATAACAGGAAAGTGGTGCGGAAGCGCGTGGGGTTACACCGTTTATTACAGCGAAACATCCAGCGTCAATATTACATTATTTTTGAAACATTTTCATCAGCAGGTTTGTCCCATTTACTTCGCAAAACTCACCAACGTAACTTATACTTTATTTGATATTCTACCATTTTAAAGTATGGTAATATAAGCACAAAAATGGTTTTGTAGAATCCCGATTCCCAATTCGAATTTAAATTGTCTTATAAATTTTTACGAGTTAGAGAAGCCCGCCTCAGATATGGAAATTTCACACAAAAATCGTATAGGGGAAAATTGCAAAAGAACACCTACTGCGATCGCCTCCTCGAAGGTACTCGTACATAATATGATAAAGTCAAGAAGGCGGAAAGAATTTTCGATAAAATTTTACAGGTTGCAGCCGGCGTCAGTGTAAAATACAATCACCAAACTATCCAGGAATTTATCCTCGGAACGTAACATGCCATTACAGGATAAGGGAGAGGCAGCCGCCCCCCGGAAAACACGCTCTTGTCGCTATTAGGCAAATCAACACTCAAAATAAAGAAAATGGTTTCAAAATTGAATCTGGTGACAATTTTCGGTAACAAGCGAAAACACACCGAGAAATAATGCAGTTAATAAAGATCATTTTTTAGAATATGGGATCAATGTGACGTGATACAAGAGTTTATAGAAGTCAGGGACGGACTTAATAAAAATTCATCTTTATTGGCTCATTTTTGTACCATCAATACAATCCCGGAAATTGTAGGTAGCGGACCTGAACTCCTGGTGACGTTTCATACATCTCCATACGGAAATCCATTTCATCCACTTCCGCTTTCTCATTTACCTGGATTTGAATTCGAAATTGAGGCAAGAAAATAAAAAACAGGCTTTAAGTAATAGATATTCCAAAAATACTGATGAAGTTTGAAAACTATAGAATAAATAGTAAACAATAGATTCATTTGACTACCCTCAAAATCATGTAAATTGGCAGCTATTATTTTCATAGTGCAACGAATCGTTATTAACGGAATTCGCTTATAATGACTGCGCATATAATCACAATCTATTTGCTATATCGCAGCTATATCAGATAGTTTGGTTTTCACAGACAAAAGTATATAATATATATATATATCCACCAGTCCGTTTTAAATGACTCTGGTTAAAATAGAGAACCGCTTGTAGTGACATATCATTCGTAAATAAACTTGGTTACAATAATATCGACCATGGGCCTACAGAAGGGTTTTTTGCTGTAGAATATTTTGTTCATTCATAATGTCATTCTAATTTCTGAAGAAATTGGATTTCTGGATGAAATCAACATGACGGATCATGGTGGCGTCGAAAGTGTTCGATGTTTCGTCTCCTATCACATGGGGCATCTTCAGGAACTTCACGTTGTCGATGCAGGAGTAGCAATGGTCAAGATCCCACATCGACATTTTTGATGCCACCATGTTCTATATCATGGTGATTTCATCAATAAGCCGCGGGTTACAATCCGGGAACCTATTTCTTCAGAAGACAACCATGAAAGCCTAAACCAACTTCTAATTTCGATAATCCCGCAGATCTTCTATGTAGAGAAGGAATCATCTGAGTACATCGAAGACGGAAAAAAATTTGGTTACAATGATATCGACCATGGGCCTACAGAAGGGTTTTTTGCTGTAGAATATTTTGTTCATTCATAATGTCATTCTAATTTCTGAAGAAATTGGATTTCTGGATGAAATCAATATGACGGATCATGGTGGCGTCGAAAGTGTTCGATGTTTCGTCTCCTATCACAAGGGGCGTCTTCAGGAATATCACGCAGGAGTAGCAATGTTGAAGATCTCACATCGACATTTTTGATGCCACCATGATCCGTCATGGTAATTTCATCAATAAGACGCGGTTAGAATCCGGGATTTTAGTTTCTTCAGAAGAAAAACCGCGAAAGCCTAAGTGGACTTCTAATTTCGATAATCCCGCAGATCTTCTACGTAGAAAAGGAATCATCTCAGTACATCGAAGACGGAAAGAAATGCGAGTTCATATTGACTCCGATAGACAATTCGTCAGGTTTTCTTCAGAGTCCTAGGCATTCGTTGCCACCAAACACCACCTGTCATTACCACTTCAAAGGTCAGAAACACGAGGTCATTTGGATAACGTTCATTAAATATTACGTGGCCGGCGAAAAGGTCGGTAACTTCGGCTACGACGATTGCAACGTCGAACTGCAACTGTGGGACGGTGACTTCGGGGAGAGTGGAAAGTCGAAACAAAAAAACGCCCTTATTAGTCGTTTCTGCAAGGACGAAAAACCGAAACTCTGCGACCATTCGCTATTGAGAAATGCCACGAGAACCACACGTCCGTGTGAAATGCACGAAAGCTACATATCATCCGGTTCAGAACTTTCCATAAGCTTCTCTAATCGATACGGCAACGTGCTGCTTCCGGTCCAGTTCCTTCTCAAATACGAGTTCGTAGATCTGTTCCAAGAAGGCTATAATATGACCAGCACCTGCGACAGGGTCTTCCAAGGGGGAACTGGTAAATTCTCGTCCCCAAAGACAACCTTCCTTTACGGAAGGGGAGGCCAAGAGAACCTCAGGTGTTCCTACATGTTCGAATTTCCGGAAGATCACAGACTAAAACTGACCTTCACCAGGGCAACTCTAGGTCGAAATAAATGCCAGACAACTTATGATAAGGATAGAAATATACGTCATTGCACGTCTTTCAATAATAATAATAATTTATTTCAAGAGAGGGGTCATGGGAAGATCGAGGTCATTGAATATCCATGGTCCGACATAAGTGTTCCAATTTGGTGCATGTGCGAAAATTTCAGCGTAAATTTCGAGGTGACCACAAAAGTTGCCGAAAAAGTTGTTGTTGTTTTCACAGTAACGAACATGAGCGTGTCCGATGACTACAATGATTTTAACTTTGAAGGGACATACGAATATGTGCCTCTGCAATCGAAACTTTGTACTAGCTCGTATAAGACTCGTCGACTTCATGGTAAAAGCGGTGAAATTACAACAGTGAATATGGATTTCAACAATTCGATGGACAAATGCGTTCATCAACCGTGGCTGATAGAGCCCGGCGATTCTTACAAAAATTTCCTGTATTTAAAAATAAGAGGTTTAGAAATGCACAATTCGACGAAATGTTGGACTGATAACAGGATTTTGGTCTACTCCCCAGTTTATACTGATTACGTTCATGTTATATGTCCAGCTCCGAGCGGTGAGGATTCCAGTTATGTTGAACTGTTTTCTGAAGGATGGTCTTCGTTAGACACTGTGTTCATGCAAACAAAAACGTCGAAAAGTTTTATTGTCGAATTTTTGCAGAAACAGCCCGGGGAGTTTCTTGTTAATTGGTTGGAAGTGTCGAGAAATCCAGCACTCAATCTCCCCACTTCCTTATTCGTTACCAAGAATCCAGATTGTCCACACAGGTGAGTTACTAAATGCCAAAATATTTCAAATGCGGAGATCTATAATTATGCCAAAACTTTAAAAATATCCTACAAAATTTTCTCCACTATGTCAGAATATATTTTAGCAGAAGTTGCGCCACAATTGAAAGTTTTAGGCTCCAATATGCCCAATGCGGAAAATATAGCTTTCAGAAAAACTATTACAACCCTAAAATAATTCGAAGTGGTCTGTATTCTGTCGAAACTGCCAGACGCGGATCGCGATTTCGATCTTTTTGAACACAGACCAACTTTTGCCTGCTATCTTAACAGTGCGTTTTAGAAAATTCTACAAATGGCGTAGTAAACGCCATCTGTAGTACGATGCTACATTTTAGGATTACGTATGCTCCAACAAGGTCCACTTGTGTGGATATCTACTTGCTGAAAACGAATCCCGCGGCGTAGCCAACCTCAACGTGATATGCACGTTAGCTTCATCGAATAAAATAATTCGAAGTGGTCTGTATTTACTACGCCATTTGTAGTATTTTCTAAAACGCACTGTTAAGACAGCAGGCAAAAGTTGGTCCGTGTTCTGTCGGAGCTGCCTGCGACGCGCTGATGAGATCCAAAAAGATCGAAATCGCGATCCGCGTCTGGCAGTTTCGATAGAATACAGTTTAGTTGTAATAGTCACCTTTGTACAATGATATGTAATAACCATCGTATAGACCTACATATCTCCAGGATGATTTTCTTTTTTTGAGTCTAACTTTAACGGTCGTATTTTTTTATCTTCCTGGCGAAAATTATTAAATTTCAATCCTAAAATCTACATAATCCTTTATAATTTTCCCCATAACTGACGTATAGCGCCCTGTACATTACATCCAATATCTTCCAGCTGTCCTGAACTTGGCGCTTGTATAAGTTCCGATCTGTGGTGTGATGGATTGGTCCATTGTCCTTCAGGAAGTGACGAACAAGAAGTGAACTGTTCCATAAACAAAGGAAGATTCATTATCCAAGTTTTGACATCCTCGGCAGTGTTGGCGGGACTTTTAACGGCAATTTTCATAGTCGCGACGTTCATCTTTTGGAAGCGGTGGAAACGAGAAAAAAAGACTGCTATCACTTCCGTTACCGATCACACCTTTTTGGAATTCAAGACTGGATTTTGTTAGTCGATAAATAAGTGGAAAATTATATTAATCTATAACTAACTATTACAAAACGAACGCAGGAGAGGATTTCTAGAAGTCATTTCAAAGAAATACTTACAGGGTATCTTATTTTTCTTAAAATTAGTATTCTTATTATTAATTAAAGGTAAAAGTAATAGGAGAAACAGAGCAATAAATAACGGCGTAGTTTTAATGTAATCTTCTGTAAGGACTAATATTTTTAGCTAATTTTATTCCTTTTATTAAAATAGTAAAATGCTTAAATATTCCTATTTTTAAAATCATTTCCTTTAAAGGACTTGATGTCTATATTATAGCCACGTATAGTTCTTCAAATTTTGGCACCCTCTAGGTTTTTGTACGTAAATTTTTTTACCCAAAATTGACCTTGCTGCCCTAAAAGTTCCGTTACAAAATATATGTAAGTCCGTGTATACATGTAATGACCCCTTTGAAGTTGGTATGACAACGTTAGCAGCAGGCAAAAATACCCGGGAAACTTAAAATCCAATTTGCATGCTAACTTCGATTGAGAAATTGTAAAATCCTAGACAGCTAGAACCGGTATCATAATTGGTTGCTAATTAACCACCAATAATGTAGTACTACTATTAACAAGAGGGTTATAAATTTTATTTTCAAAATAGGCTTATTTTTAGGCAAAAAATTAGCTGCGACCCAGGAAACCCGAAAACTAGTTAGCAACTTCAAATCAGTTAGGAAAAGCGTGGACAACGGAGTCATTATTTAGCCGTTAACGATGTAAACTACCAACCGATTCAATTTTTGACGTGACAATGTCTTATAATTCGATGGGGCCGGCTGCACGCACGAAAAAACATGACTCATGCTGCGTTACCTCGCTCTGAGGCGTTCCATTTAAGGCTTGAAGTGCAAGCGAGAGCGCGGAACGAGCGACAAAGAGGCACAATCGGCCTCCGCGTTCGGCAGCGTTCGACATCT